TCTTGGGTTGATAAAGAAAGTATGATAAAAAGGGTAAAGGAAATGATCTTTTGTATAGTTGAGTCTGACCATTGTAGAAACCAAGTTCAGGTGAGCTCGTGTGCACAGTATAATAGGATATCAGCGATATAATTATTGATTATGTGATTGCATGTCACTTAATTTAGTTATATCAATCTATTTTGGTAAGGTCTCATGTCCCTATTGAGCGATGGTTGCTCATACCCTGTTTAAATTTTTAGATGAATTAGTGGACAACACAAGGACTAAACCAGTTGAGGCTGAATTAGATGAGAGTGATAGAAATTTATTTATTTATTGTAAAGTTGTAAGATTTTGGAGTTTTTTTTATATTTTTTATATGAGAAGTTTATTTTTAAACCCATATTTCAGCTTCTTTTTATCCTCTTTTATTAGTCATTTGGTCTAACTCCTTATCGCAAGTCCTAAATCACCCAATAAAAACTATATGCACTATGAAATCCCTGAAACTTTGTACCTACCAAGAATTATACTCAACTGCACTAAAATCTTTTCCAAAACCCTCATTTCCATATTTGAGTATGTTTTGCTTCTCTTGGATGATTATGAAATTTTGGATATGGAATTAATTTTGAATATGTTTCACGTCACCTTTATTTATTGTAAATAAATTAAACTGCACAATTTTTAAAGAGTTGAAACTAATTAAAATCATATTTGTTCTTAACAAAAAAAATTAAAAGTGTGAACAAGAATGACAATTTTATCAAAAGACAGTGGCCGAGCCCAAATAATAAAATGTAAAAAGCTTCTATGTATATTGTTATTAAGGCACATAGCCTCATAACCATAGATTAGCCTTTTCAAAACCTTTTTGGCGTACGATTGGAAACCTTGCCAAACCCAAAGTGCGCATTTCAATTGAAACCTTTTTCCTTTTTTTTTTTAAATTTTTTTATTTATTTAATATTTTTATTTTTATAACAAAGAGAGTGAAGCTATCACAAGCATAAATCAGAGAAAATACTTGTCTCTTTTTCTGAAAATAGAAACTCCTACTTTCCTGCTAATCACAGTTTGATATATGTGCTAAGATTATCTACTTCTACAAACCATACCAAAACTTTGTCTCACAACCTGACGCCATTGTCAACACTCTCAAAGACTCATTATGCCGAGCATTGGTGCCATTCTATCCACTAGCCGGTCGTTTTCATTTCTGAGTGGGCTAGGCTTGCAAAGGGTGAGCCAATTGGAGTAATGCCGTTTCTGGATCGAAAGGCCTTTCAAGCTCGAACACTCCCAGCTGGAAATACTCTAGGGCGTTACCAATCAGAGTTAGACCATGTACCCCTTTTGCTCGGGCAATCTGATGATATCGAGGAGAGAAAGAAGAAGACCACTGTGGCCATGTTGAAGCTTACCAGGCACCAAGTTGAGAAACTTAAGCGAATGGCGAATGAGGGGAATGGTTACAACCATTCTGGCACTAAGCGGGCTTACACAAGGTATGAGACCGTGGCAGGGCACATATGGAGATGTGCGTCTAAGGCTAGAGTTCACAGAAATGAACAACCTACGGCAATGGGAGTTTGCGTTGATTTGAGGAGTCGTATGCAACCCCCATTGCCCCAAGGATACTTTGGAAATGCAACATTTTATGGGGTTGCTAGAAGTCTTGCTGGTGACTTGGTGTCCAAGCCATTAGGGTACGCTTCGAGTAGAATAAGGGAGGCAATCGAGAAGGTGTCGAATGATTATGTGCTGTCCGCCATTGATCACTTCAGGAACCAACCGGACTTGACTAGGTTTCAAGACCTTCATGCTCTAGGGATTGCCGAAGGGGCTTTTCATGGAAACCCTTGTCTTGAGGTTGTGAGTTGGTCGACACTGCCTATATATGGGCTTGACTTTGGATGGGGAAAGGAAATTTATATGGGTTCAGGAACATATGATTTTGATGGGGAATCCTTCCTCCTTCCAAGTCCTTATGGAGATGGTTCTATGGTTCTGACTTTGTGTTTACAAGTGGCCCATATGGATGCTTTCAAGAAGCACTTCTATGAAGATATTATACTGCATAAGTTATATAGCAAGCTATAAGCTGAGAAATACAGAGCAGATATATGGAATATATATATATATATATATATATATATATATATATATATATATATATATATATATATATATATATATATATATATATATATATATATATATATATATATATATATATATATATATATATATATATATATATATATATATATATATATATATATATATATATATATATATATATATATATATATATATATATATATATATATATATATATATATATATATATATATATATATATATATATATATATATATATATATATATATATATATATATATATATATATATATATATATATATATATATATATATATATATATATATATATATATATATATATATATATATATATATATATATATATATATATATATATATATATATATATATATATATATATATATATATATATATATATATATATATATATATATATATATATATATATATATATATATATATATATATATATATATATATATATATATATATATATATATATATATATATATATATATATATATATATATATATATATATATATATATATATATATATATATATATATATATATAATATCAGCTTATTAATTGGTCTTTAGTGAGAAATATTTTCAAAATAAAGTAATTTGTCAAGTATGTTAACGTAGCTATGGACGATTGAGTTCTCCAGCCAAGTAAAACAGATGGTTGAGTTTCTTTCTTTATAATTATGTATGAATAATGCAATTAATGCATGGCTGTAGGTGAATCTTACTACCGTGAAAGATGTCATCTGCATTGTAATTCAAATAACTTTAGCAAATTCACATCCTGGTTGGTGTTATTTTACTAGCCTATTGGCAAAAGCCCTCACGTGCATGCCAATTGGCTTATTTTTTTTCAAAGATTATGAAAATGTTTATTAAAATTAATGTAAATTATTTTTTGAATTTTTTATGTGTTTTTAATAGGATCCAGGTTCTAATTTTGTTTAATACACAAAAGTATAAATTTACTATATTATACTTATTTATTATATTTTCAATTCTTAATATTATCATTAATTATGGGCATTTTATGGTATTTTGAATGTTTCACCATTCTCTGTATATGTCTTTTGAAAAAATGGTATTTCATTAAATCCAAAGGAACATTACATAATCACAAGGTGTGGTGCTGTTGGCAAACTGTCACCTCCAACTGGCAAGCTACCTGGTGCCTCAATGGAAGGGGTTCGAAACACGTTCGAAGTACTTTGTGGCCTTATAGACTTCATAATGGGTGGAACTCTATAAGATATTTTCATCTATAAAAGGCTGGGTTCATGCTCTCACATAATAAATCATCTAGACTTTTGTGTACTCCCAAGTGATCTTGGGTTCAAGCCCCCATAGTACTATTGTTTGTTACAAATACATAGGTATAATGTCATAGGGAGCTGGTCAGCAGTACAAATAACAGTATTGTTGAAAAATATAAGACCTATACTTAGGAAGTGGGCTTTTGAACACTCCCCGCGCAGCCCATTAGAAAATCACAATGAAAAATTAGTGTGTGTCCATTTCCAGCCGCCATTCCCCCTTCTTGAGTTCCCTCTTTCCCCTTCTTCTTCTTCTTCTTCTTCTTCGGTTCTCTCACAGTGAAATAGTCACTCCTACAAACCCACTGTTCCAAGGAGGCTTCTTCCAAGCCGATTAAAGAAAAAGGAAAAAGCTTTTTCCTCTTTCTTCTTTCACAGTAATTCATTCGGCCATGGACTTGGAATCGAATTACGAAATCGCCCCCACGGCCGAGTTCATTCAGAGCAACAAGTTCACCAGAGTCGCTTTACAGGTACGAGTTCTTCAATCTTCCTGTTGCGTCTTGTTTTCCTCTCAATTTTATTTTTCTTTTGTTTGCTTTTTCTTTTTCTATTTTTTTTTTTTTTTTTTTTTTTTTTTTCTGGGAAACCAAACATCGAATTGAATTGTATTGAATTGAATGTCGTCTCAGTTCCCTGACGAACTTCTGAAGGACGCGGTGAGAGTTGTGAGTGCGCTAAGGGCCAAGCTTCGCACACTGAGGGAATCCAACGCCGAGCAAAACGACGACGCTCCGGAAGTGGGCTTGTTCGTGATGGCGGACACGGCCTACGGTAGTTGCTGTGTGGACGAGGTGGGAGCATCGCACGTGGATGCTGATGCTGTTGTTCATTACGGCCACACGTGCCTCAGCCCGTGAGTGCTCTGTACTGGAAGTAATTAATGGTTGAAGTCGGGTTTGAGTTTTATTGTGTATGTTGTTGAAGGCTCATTCTCTTACTTGGGTTTTTGTTGGCAGGACCACGACGCTTCCAGCATTCTTTGTTTTTGGGAACACTCCAATTAGTGTGCCTGATTGTGTGAAGAATCTATCGCATTATGCTTTGCCAAATGGGAGGCGAGTTTTGGTATGATCATTGTTCACTTTTCACGTCTAGACTCATTAGGATTTGATTAGATGGGCAGTTTTTAAATGTTTTGGCTGATACTGAATCATCATTCTGGTTAGATCATCAAGTGCTAGAAATCATAGCTGTAATCAAAGAAAGAAGAAATTATGGTTATGGAAGTTAAAACAATAGATGATATGCAACTTAAATGATATTCTTACTTGATTTGAAGATCAATTGTTCAGAGGAGTAGGATATTGAGGATGAAATGGTTAACTTGTTTGATTTGTAGCCCATAATTTCTTCTTTTCTTTTGTTGAATTTAAATTTGGTAAATTTTTTATTTTTCAAGAAAGGAGGGAAAAGAAAAGAATGGAGATGAAAACAGATAAATTCTAGTTATATCCCATTGCATGAGTAATGAGTTAATTTTTGGCCCAAGGTGACAAAATGGTATTAAACTTGTAGCCCTTCTACCCATCAGCTTACCACTTGATCAAGTCAGCGTTCAGCGTTGTTGATTCAGCATGAGATAAAGATTGTCTCCTGCAGCAACCTCATCGTCCTTCTACCCATCAATTTTTTCTTTTTCTCTCAATCTTCTTTCTCCTTTATACTCTGCATTATTCTACCCATCATTCAGTTATTAAATATGAAATGTAGATTATTGTCTATGCACGTAATTTTCTATAAGAGACCAAGTACATTTTATTTTTTGGTTAGTTTACCAAATCTGACTTTCTATCCATCTGTAGGTCCTTTTTGGGCTGGATTATGCACATTCAATAGAGAATATCAGAGAAAAATTTGCAGAAGTATGCGGGGCTGAATCCGAACCAGAAGTTCAATATGCTAATGTTATTTGCACAGTTATGAATCCATCAAAAGGTCATAAAGTCTCAAATGAGGTCCAGGGAACATCTGGCAGCCTCACTGATAATAATAGTTTTGGGACAGTATCTGCTAATACGTATAGCATTGGAGGCTTGGTCTGGAAATTGCCTGAGGGACACAAGATGGACGATTACTTACTTTTCTGGATTGGTTCTAATAACTCAGCCTTTGCAAATATTGTTTTGACATATAATGGCTGTGAAATAGGTACATAAACTACTTTCCTTTGTTTGTTTTGGTCTTGAGGTTGCAGCTTTCTTTTGTTTTTCTCTTGTGGATTCCTTATCCACTTGCTTGTTTCTTTGAATTTATAAAGTTTTTATTAAAAAAATAGTTGCATGAACCACTACTTTCTTTTGTTATACATTTTGTTTGAGTATGCATACATGCATGTGCGACTGCACCTCATATTCTGTTTTCTCGTGTCCTCAAGCAAATTTTTTTTTTCTGATGAGTTGTGCTGTTTCAGATACGTCATATAGTCCCATACATCATATATCATACATGTGGTGGTTCATGGACTTTCGTTTTTCTTTTTTCTATATATTGGTGGATTTCATTTTTGCACAAATAAAGAGGGATATTGTCTCTATGCATTTATCATGATGGATGCATCATATCTGTAGTGCACACACATTGATATTTTCCATTTAGGCAAATAGCTGTTTGCGTTCCCCTTTCTCCTTTTCTGACTGAGGCAATCAAAGTGTCTAGGACCCTAGCCACTTATGTACCATGTCTTCGAAAAGTAAATTCTCAATTTACACACACACACACACATATTTTTACTACCCCTCCCTGCTTTCCTCCTTGTTTACAATGGAGTCCGAGCGGTAATAACGTGCCGACGTCCGGATGAGAGAAGAACTTCAGTTTTCTCATCTTATTATATGCTGCCAAATCAAGCCACTACACTGCTATATAAAAATATCCAGTCGGTGCTGTAGAAGTATGCATCTTCACATCATTTTTAACAATGAAACACAGCTGCAAACATTGGGGTCCACATGCTAAACAATCTGGTTGTCCGGATAAGAGAAAAATCCTATATTATATGTATCCCAAAGTAACCAATTCCCCACAAGTCCTGTTCACAAAGTAGGATGAAGTCTTTTTACTTGGTAAATGAACTCAGGCCACTTACGGTTCTCCCTTAGTTTGTCCAATATTTGGCAGAAGGAACTCAAGGAATAATATGAAAATATGATAATTGGTCCAGTCATTTTTGTTTTCTTGGTTACTAATAGAAACTTGATTTATTGTGGGGAAGAAGACAAGGAGCCAGATTAAGATTTTCAAGTTTAAAAAGTTAATTTTCTTAAAGCACCTAGTATGTGGAAATTGATATGCTATTGATTATTCAATTTTTCTTACTCAATCTTGTTTATAATTTTTGGTGGTTTTGGTTTTAGTCAGATATGATGCCTTGGAATGCAGTATGGTGACTGACTTATCGCAACAAAGAAAGATTCTTAAGCGCAGGTATTATCTCTAAAATCTTTGTACTGTTCCCTGTTTCCACTAATCTTTGCTCTTACAAGCACAATAATTGTGACATGATAGACCGTGTGTTCCTTCCACCATGTGTTATATTCTTGTCATGCTCTTCTTTCATATGATTTATTGTGTGAGCAATCTCTCATCCAGATATTACCTAATGGAGAAAGCAAAGGATGCTAACATTGTTGGGATCTTAGTAGGAACCCTTGGTGTAGGTGAGTTCTTGTGTGGGATCCTCTAGTCTTTATTTTTTATTAATCCACTGTGTTGAAATTGAGCAATCAGTTTGAATAGATCTTGTAATGCACAGCTTGCTATTAGAGATCATTGATTTTTTTTTTTAACTTCAAATTAATTTTTCAATATTGAACCATGTGTTGGTTATTATCACACTATACCCATAGTGTTTCTTTATGTGCCGGTATTTTGTGTTTTGTTTTTCCTTTTCCATCTCATTTCTAATCTGGTAATTCATTCTGTAATTAATCATGATAATCATGAAAAGTTTTGTTTTGTTTTTTTTGCATTTCAGTATGGGTACGTCTTATTATGTACCATTCAAGGACTTTAAATTACTCTATCTTAAATTTCAATTATGTTGGGATCCTTTCAGAAAAAGAAAAAACAAAATTCAATTAAGGGCACATTCTTTTACTGATGCATAACCGAGAGCCTAGAAAATTAATTAACTTTTTTGGCAATTATGATGCAGCTGGTTATCTGAATATGATTCATCAGATGAAAGTGCTGATTACAGGAGCAGGGAAAAAAGTCTATACTCTAGTTATGGGAAGACCAAACCCTGCAAAACTTGCCAACTTTCCAGAGGTCTGATACATGCAAGTAGATGTGTTCATATGGAATTTAGAATATTTGAAGTTATAATAAGTTAATTGTAGATTTTTATTCATGGCAGTGTGATATTTTCATCTATGTCTCTTGTGCCCAAACTGCTCTTCTGGATAGCAAAGAATATTTAGCTCCAGTAATTACACCTTTCGAAGCCATGCTAGCTTTCAACAGGTACCGCATTAAATAAGGTTGTACTTATATTGTACATTCAGTGCCATGAACTTAGGTTCGTTGTATATTGAATGGTTCCATATTTGCTCATTGTCTTATGAACTACTTGCTACTTGATATCCCTCACATGAGATGATCTGTTATTACATATTCCTAAGGTGTGGATTCAAATTAGTATACCTTAAATACTCCTAAGATGTGCATTGACAAGATGAATTAATTAGCTAGTTATCATTCCTCGTTTATCCCTGACCACTGAAAGTTCAAATTCTCACTGCAGAGGATGTCAGTGGACTGGAGAATATGTAATGGAATTCCGCGATTTGATTAATTCTTCTCCAGTGGAATCAAGGAACTTTTCTGAAGAAGCACGATTTTCCTTCTTGAAAGGTGGTTATGTAGAAGATTTTGATCAGCAAGGTAGTTCTCTTATTTTTCTAATTTATGCAATTGTTATGGCATCATTGAGTGAAAAAATAGAAGACTTTCAACATATAAAGTGACTTGTGTGTCTCTGAGAAATGAAGGATACTGTATGCACCTTCTCCCTCGCCCCCTCCTCTTTTTAAAAGACATTTGGATGATTAGCTTAATTTATTTTTCTTACCTTAGATTGATTGTTAGAGCAAAGAAATATTAAACAAAGAAATCTATGCTTTAAGTCCATATTTGTCCTAAGCTTCTATCCTCATTAGAAGTATGGATCAAATATTGCACTATCCACTGGCTTTTTCGTTGTGGTCTCGGTCAATTAAGGACAGGTTTATGCTGGTCCATGACATTGCCATATAATGTGCTATTATCTGAGAAGTTGAACTTTTTTGGTGGAAATAAAAGGGTTTGTAGTTGAGCTGAGTAGTGCTATGATGGAAATTTTCGGGCTTCAATCGGTTGTAAAGAATAGTAGCATATTTGGGGGCAAGGAGGTGAGTGTTTATGGGATAGGATGTGTTTCGGGGCTTCTTCGTGGGCATCTGTAGATTCGGAGTTGAAGGAGCTATATTTTCCTGTTATCTAGTCTGATTGGAAAGCATCTGTTTTGCAGTCCTATGAAATTTCTGTTTTGTCTTTATGTTTTCGTTTAGGATTGAGGTCATGATGCACAGTTTATTTGTAGTTTTCTTTCAGAAATGGACTCCTTGTTCACTTATGTTGTACTGTTATAATTTTTTTAATAAGAGCTATGTTTCTTATAAAAAATAAAAAAGTGAAGGGCAAAACAAAGTTTAATTGGGATTTATTGTTCGAGACCCACATGTAAATAGTTACATTGGTGAACTGTTTAGGTTTGTTCTAATGCTTTTTCTCTTCTTCATTTGCACGTATTGTTTAAATTTGAATTCATTTAGATATTTTGAGACTAAAGCTACTTCGTTTTACCAAAAAGATTGTTATAATGGTACATTTCAAACTTGGAAGTTCTGAAATTGTTGCATAACCAGGGAATGGTACTGAGGAAGATAAGGAAGGAGCTCTTGCTTTAGCAAATGCGACAGAGAAGGTTCTGCAATTGCGTGACAACCCTAATTCTATAGTGAATGGAACAGCTAAATCTGGTGCAGAGTTTTTAGCCACTCGATCCTATCAAGGTCTAGATATACATTATGACGGTTCCTTGCCAGAACCATATTTTATTGGGAGAAGTGGGAGGGCAGCAGGGTATGAAGATGAGAAGAACGGGCATGAGAAATCATGATCAAATTAGAAAAACGTGGAAAGAGTGGTTTTGATGAAGACGTGCTTGGGGATGTGCCCTTAAGGAGATGTAGATGTGTGGAAGGCAGCAGGTCTAGGCAGTCAGCCGAGAGGGGACAGGTAAATGAAAGAGCATACTCTTGATGTCTCCCTTGCAGCATGGAGCGCAGCTATTTGCCGACGATGAGACTATTTAAGGGGAGAAACAAAAGGGGAGTCTATTATAGAGGCATGCCCCCTTTTGCCTCATCTATTTTTGTAGACATTTTTGGGTTTTTTGTTCTGTTTTCTATTGTGGTATGTAATTTAATGAAATGGTGACATGTAATGAGCAACGAAGGTCCTGTTTGATGGCTTTGTTTCTTGTTTTTTGGTTACTTTTCATCAAAGATATAGAAGAAAAATGAGAAGATATCGAGAAGAGACACAATTAAATGCGTGGGAATGAAAAACTGTATTCAGGTTGACTCATAAAATAAAAACTAAAAACAGTAATAAATAGATTACTTTTCCCGTTTGGTTCAAGGGAAAGAAGGCTTAGGATTAGGAAATCAATTGTTTTTCTATGTTTGGTAAGTCTATGCATAGGAAATCATTGCCTTGCACATGGGAAAGTAAGGGGAAAGTGAAGCCTTCCTTCTCCCTTGGGTTTTGTTTTCCTCATGTGAAAGTTTGGGAAAATGAGCCAATGTTAAATACACATTTTTCATGATTATATTGTCCTCATTAACAATTTAGAATTACAATATAATATTATTATATTATTTTTTTCATTGGAAAAACTACATAAAACCCACCATAACTATATGGTTATTTTCAAGTTCATACCCAACTTTAAAGACATTTACAAGTACATACTCAAACTCCCGGAAAACTTACAAATTGCCTCCACAAATTGCCCCCATCATCAGTTTAGTAAGACTATTAAATGCTGATGTGGTGAATTGGGTTCCATTTTTTAATGACGTGGACTTACAGGTGGACAAATAAAAAATAAAAAATTATGTACATGTTAAAAATAATTTTTAAATAATATTAAAATCATTAAAAAATGAGAAAAAATCCTATCTTACCCAGCCAACCCTCTCTCCCTCTTGACTCAACCCCGCCTCTCAGCCACCCCTCTCTTGTCGCCCACCCCCAAACCCAACTCTTTCTCTCTCCTTCTACACATTTTGCTGCCGAGGGATCCTCTATCTTAAAGTGGATCTTCGTAAAATGCATGACCAACTCCTTAGGGCCACTGCTTATGATTTTCTCAGTCTCTTTGGTGATCTCACCCTTGATCACATAGACTTTGAGCTCGTCGATGCCAGTAAGTACTTAGTTTCTTTCATTTTTGATTTCAAGATTTCAAGATTTGGGTTTTAATTGTTCCTTGGAAAATTCTTCTTTTTCAATATTTCTGACATGGAAGGTTTTTTTCTTCTTCATTTTTTAATCGTTTTAATATGATTTAAAAATTATTTTTAACATGTACATATATATATTTTTATTTGTCCACCTATAAGTCCACGTCATTAAAAAAATGCAACCCACATTCGCCACATCAGCATTTAACAGTCTTACTAATGGTTTGACTGACGATGGGGGCAATTTGTAAGTTTTCCAGGAGTTTGAGTATATACTCGTAAAGGTCTCTAAAGTTGGGTATGAACTTGAAAATGACCCTATAGTTTGGGAGGTTTTATGTAGTTTTTCCTTTTTCATTTGATTTCATATGGGTATAATTGGACAATTAAACAAACTTTGTTTTACATTCTTACACAAACCAAACATGTGAAAGAAAATAAAGTGGTATTTCTTAGTTACTTTCTCAGGATTACCAAACATGGTAATTAATGAATCTTCATTTTCCATCCCTTGGAAAATGACATGGGAAGTGATTTCCCCTTAAATCCGTTTTGTGAACCAAACGGGGGGTTAGGTTTTAAATTTATGACTTTTCTCATCTCTCATCTGTTTTATCTTTTATCTTATCTCTCATCTATTTTATCTTTTATCTTCAAAAGTCCAGTCAATCGATGGGGCCCCTGAGTTGTTAGTATTTGTACGATGGACGGCATGACTTTAGCTTAAGAAGGTAAAGTAATCAGAGCTTGATTAATTATCACCGAAACCAATTTGCACGTCCCACATGCAGGTCTTGACTCGAGTCATACGCGATTTCTAATAAATGTAAGTCGGAAAATGAATTTAGGGAAGTTATTATGTGCATTTCAAACTCTATGTTTCTTTATAAATATCCAACAACAAATCTTAACCTTCATTATCATTCTTCACTAAGCGCTTCACCAAATGGCTTTCTACAATACAATAACACACCTTCTAAGCCTCATTGCCCTAGTGTATGTAGCTGGAGAAGTGCTCAAAAATTTGACAGCACAAAGTTGTGGCTGTGCCCCAGAGATATCTTGTAGCCAGTATGGCTACTGCGGCAGCGGCGATGATTACTGGGGCCAGGGTTATAAAGAAGGCTCTTGTACTAGCAGCGGTGGCAGCACAACTACCACACCAAGGACCAATGGTGGTGGTGGTTCGTCGGTGGCTGATGTTGTAACCCCAGAATTATTCAACAAGATCATTTACAAGGTGTTTAGCCCTAGTTTTTACATATCCAAAATAAAAGCTAATTGGTCCAAGTACATGATTTGGGCTTTAATTGTACATGTGTAAGTCAAATAAAAGGACATGGGCCACTTAATGGGCAGAAGCAGAAAAAAGAGGGAATTATCTCCCAATTGCGACAATTACTTATAATTTTTTTTAATAAGAGCTATGTTTTTTATAAAAAATAAAAAAGTGAAGGGCAAAACAAAGTTTTATTGGGATTTATTGTTCGAGACACACATGTAAATAATTACATTGGTGAACTAGGTTTGTTCTAATGCTTTTCTCTTCTTCATTAGCACGTATTGTTTAAATTTGAATTCATTTAGATACTGTAAGGACTAAAGCTACTTCGTTTTGCCAAAAAGATTGTTATAATGGTAGACATTTCAAACTTGGAAGTTCTGAAATTGTTGCAAAACCAGGGAATGGTACTGAGGAAGATAAGGAAGGAGCTCTTGCTTTAGCAAATGCGACAGATGCGACAGAGAAGGCTCTGCAATTGCATGACAACCCTAATTCTATAGTGAAAGGAACAGCTAAATCTATTGCAGTATTTTTAGCCACTCGATCCTATCAAGGTCTAGATATACAATATGCCAGAACCATATTTTATAGGGAGAAGTAGGAGAGGGCAGTAGGGAATGAAGATGAGAAGAATGGGCATGAGAAATCATGATCAAAAATTAGAAAAATGTGGAAAGAGTGGTTAAGATGAAGACGTGTTAGAAAAATTAGAAAAATTAGATGTCTGGAAGGCAACAGGTCTAGGCGACCGCCCGAGAGGGGACATGTAAACGAAAGAGCATACTCTTGATGTCTCCCTTGCAGCATGGAGTGCATCCATATGAAACCGAGACTATGTAACAAAAGGGGATTCTATTTCTTGCTTGCATTTATTAACTGTTATTTCTTTATCTTTTTCTCATCTACATTGTCTTCATGTCTTTAGCCTAAAAGAAAAGTTGCTTTGCCCCTCTGCTACTCCCAAACCGGGTGCATCTGTTGTAGTAATTGGTACGAACACAATCCAATGGATTGATATCAATCTATGCCCTGGTATAGAAGAGTGAATCCATCAATCTAACGACAACAAAATCGTGTTTGTACTAAGTCTATTTCGTACCATAATTTCTATTTTCTCTAGTTAATTACAGCAGAACTGGCTTTTGTTTCTCCTACGCCACATGACTACGAACAAAATTGGATTGTTAAAAATTTTAGGGAAATGATTTCGGTACTTGAAAAAAAGGCTTAAATTACCTTATGCAACGTGAGATTTGAAGTGTGGAAATTATCTACAAAAAAGTTATTATATTTGTGGAGCTTAAACAAAGCACATGTACTACAAGTCTACAAGAGAGGAGAAGATGATTCGAATTCGAAGCTTCAAAAGTCCAGTCAATGGATGGGGCCGTCTGAGTTGTTTGTACGGTGGAAAACATATAAACTGGATTTCGTGTCCTGGACTCCATGACTTCAAGAATTTTTTTTTAAATCTTTTATTTATTTAAAGAACTTGGACTTCGTAGAAATGGGGCTTTTTCTTTGGGGTCAGGAAGTCAGTCAATGGAATACGTGTTCTCTCTGCCATCTATGGGGCCGCCTGTGTTTGCCTCTACTTTTGGGTGAAGAAGTCAGTCAAGTCTTCATTCATAATATTTTTGAAATTGTTAAGATACCTACTGTGGCCAACAAAATTCACGAACTTGCTTTAAGAAAATATTAAGATAACAATCATTTAACTGAGTAGACAAATATATTCAAATTCAAGTGATGATTTTTCCAGGGATCATCTTTAAGGAATACCAAAGAAATATACTATTCGGATCATAGAAAAACAATGCTATATAAGTTCTACAACAATGTTCCACATATAAAGGATAAGTTCTACAACGGTGTTCCACAAATAAAGAATCCTCAAATGAAGCTTTTGTGAGTAGGTAAACGAATACGAGCTTTATTAATTATCCCCGACAAGATTATGGAACACCATGGAAAGTCTCCTGCGCTAGTAGATTTAATTTGGGAATCCAAAGAAACCAATTTGCACGTAACACATGCAAGTCGACGTCAACTCAAGTCATACACGATTTCTGATAATTCATGTCGGAAAATGAATTTCTAGGGAAGTTATTATGAGCATTTCAAACTCTATGTTTCTTTATAAATATACAACAAATCTTAACCTTCATTCTCATTCTTCACTAGCCCTTCACCAAAATGGCTTTCTACAATACAACAAAACACCTTCTAAGCCTCACCGCCCTAGTCTTTGTAGCTGGAGCACTGCTAAAAAATGTGACAGCACAAAATTGTGGCTGTGCCCCAGAGCTATGTTGTAGCCAGTATGGCTACTGCGGCAGCGGCGAAGATTATTGCGGCCCGGGTTGTCAACAAGGCCCTTGTACTGGCGGTGGTGGCGGCACACCTACCACACCAAGCCCGAATGGTGGTGGTGGTTCGTCTGTGGCTGATATTGTAACCCAAGAATTCTTCAATGGAATCATTAACCAGGCTCCTTCAGACTGTGCTGGGAAGAACTTCTACACCCGAGATGGTTTTATTAACGCTGTCAACTCATATTCTAACTTCGGTAGACTTGGTTCGGTTGACGAGTCTAAACGGGAAATCGCAGCTTTCTTTGCTCATGCCACTCATGAAACTGGCTGTAAGATATTCCTTTCCTTTCCTCTTCATACATACAATCTGACTTGTGTTAATAGTATACATACATGCACAAATTATAACTCCTTAAAAACGTGCATATGTTACAAGTTGTGAAATTATATGTTTCACTATGTGCAATAAAACCACGTTGTATTATACAACATTTAGCAACACGTTGTCGAAATGCGTTTAGTGCATATCATGTCTGAAAGTTCTATATAGTTGCTAAATATTTTCCATGTATTAAGCTCCACAATTTCCGAATGAATTTCCTTATTATGATATGCACAGATATTTATGTCAAATAGTTTATAATCTATAAAAATTCAAAACCCCTATTTCTCATATAAAAATTTGATGGGTCATATATATTGTCACCATAAATAGAACAAACAAAAGAAAACACAGATGAACCTAACAAAATCACTTTTTCTTTTTCGTTCAGATTTTTGCTTCATAGAAGAGAAAGAGGAGACTCGTCAAACCTACTGCGAGGCAAGAGCAGACTATCCATGCAACCCGAACAAACAATACTATGGGCGTGGACCATTCCAAATTACGTGGAATTACAATTATGGACCTGCTGGAAACAGCATTGGCTTAGACCTTTTAAACTCTCCAGAAACCGTGGCCTCAGACGCTGCTGTTGCATTCAAGACTGCCATTTGGTATTGGGTGGGAAATGTTCGTCCTGTTTTAAGTCAAGGATTTGGAGCCACAACTCGGGCCATTAATGGTGATAAAGAATGCGATGGTAAAAGACCTGACCTAGTTCAAGCCCGGGCCGCCTTGTACCAGAGTTATTGCAGCCAACTTAATGTTGATCCTGGCACTAATCTCAGTTGCTAGAGAATGAATAACCTATAAAAGAGATTATCGTGAATTGCCTCCTTTCATATGATATATATCAATATATCATGTTTTTTTTTTTGTTCCCAAGCTAGCATGGAAGGAGGGGACTACCTCCTGTTGTGTACTCCACCCATTGAATAAATAAAGACTAAATATTTGTATTGAATGTGCTTTTCGTCATTCGCTACGGAGGAGGATGAGACAGAATTATATTAGGTTGTCTCAAGTTTGTCTTCTGTGTGAATCGAACCCGGGTGCACTTAGGGGGAAATGGGAGAGTTTTGGCCTACTTTTCTACTGTGATGCCACCCCATGTGCTGTATTGAATGTTATATATACTATTGAAAATTGTTGGAATCTTTGTGAAGTCTGTTTAGCGAACATTTGTGATTGGTTTGATATGAATATGAGATTAGTTGTGCTGAGGACCTATTTTCTTCTAAATTTGTTTATATATCGGCTTCTACCCTAACTTGGGAAAGAATAAATACTCCTTGGCAGTAAAGATTGCTTGGAGTACAATTCGGGCTAATTACCTGTTTTAAGTAACTAGGAACCCCAATCAAATAAGGTCATATAAGCCACAATTTGACTCAAGAAAAATTCAGGCCCAAACATAAACAAAATCGCATATTATTTTAGCACGAACAGTTCCACATCACTGTACCCTCTAGAATCTTGGTATTTTCACGTAGCTCTTTCCTGTCTTCCAATCTCTTCTCCCGATTTGTCATTTCTCATCACTTTCTGTTGATCCACTTTTCGGCATCGAACCTAAATTTCCCTCTCATTTACTCAAACAAAGTTCCCAACTTTCTTCTCCGTCTCACTTCTAATTGTTTGAATCAAGTTGAATTGCAAGCAGAGAAAGTAAATTAAGGTATTAAAACAAAGCATTCATTCATAACCTTCCCGAGCTCAGATATTGAGATTTCTTATAAGAATTGCCAATATTCCTAGAGTCATGTCACACTAAACAGATGATAGAACTTTCTAACTTCTCAAGAGAAAGGGAATCTAGAATTATTCTAACGAGTCAAAAAAGAAAGAGCTATGCTATAGTCAGTCACTTGTGCGAGATTAGGCCATTTTTTTACCATTCATTATTGTGGGACACAAATTTGATTAATGGTCAGAAATTGCACCCTTGTTCTTATTTATGTTCGTCTTTCCTTCGAAGTCATGATCCTTTGTTGTTCCAGTGTTCCTATTGTCAGTTCATATGGTATCAGCTCCTCATTGTGGATTGTGTTGGCACTAGTTTGCCATGCACCTCTTTCATTGCATGGTCTGTGGATCACTCGAACGAGAACCAACTCTCTTCTGTAATCCATGGTTCTGTCTTGAGGCAACAGTTTACTGTATATGAAATCTAGCTGATTTATCCTTTTCAATTCGAAAACTACTTCCGCTAAGAATGTTATTATAAGATATTGGCTGCTTTAATTATGAAGTTGAATTAAGTCTGTTTGTTTTGTTTGATCTAATCAGATCATATCGCAATTTTGTTCATATGTTGACCGTTAAAAGTCCTGTGGAAGAAACCAATTTGTACATCCTACTTATTGCAAAGTCAAGGCACATCCATATTCAAACCATACACATCCTCTAAGATATGCATGTCCACAAAGAATTTATAGGAAAACGATATATATATATGAGCATTTCAAAACTCTATGTTTCTCTCTAGAAGTATATTTTGTACGATGGACGACTTTAATAAAAATCTTCAGTGGTCCAAAGCTTAAAAAGCTTGGACTCGGTAAAAGTTGGCAGAACTCTTTTTGTTTTTTTCTCTTGTTTTTTCTTTTGAGTTTGTCAGTCAATGGAATAATGTTTGCCTTTGACTATTGTAAATAATAGTAGCTTTTAATTTCAGCTTAATCCATTCATTCTTTGCCGTGTGAAGGTTTCAGATTATTAAAGATCTTTTTTTATTTATCACATAGGAAACTTTCACTCCACAAAAGGCGAAGAAAACATACAACCAGAATTACTGGGTTCAGGTGCAGTTTGAAACTGGGTTCAGGTGCAGTTTGAAAATGTGAACTCGTTAAAACCTTGCCATAAAAAACCCAAAAAAGAAAAATCGATAAGGGAAAAAGAGTACCACAACACTGCATTACAAAGACACCTACTCCTATCCATTCTCTACATCTTTCTCCAGCAAAGACATTAACTAGACTCTATTGGCCTGTGAACAATTTGGTGCATGAAAATTTGTGTTTTTAGCTCAAGTGAGATCTGGGAATGAGATATTGACTAATTGACCGCTGATACTGCCGGACTTTTTCTCCTCAACATATGAAATCATATCTCTTCCAGGTAAGCAAGCTAGATTGATTAAATGCCTAATTAAGTATCTACATTAATAAGATTATTGACCATGAAAAGTCTCCTAGAGATGCATTCTAGAAACGAGTTTCTGGGAAAGTTATATGAACATTTCAAACTCTGTTTCTCTATAAATAGGCAACAAGAACAACAAATCTTAACATTCATTCTCATTTCCCTACACCAAAATGGCTTTCTACAATACAACAAAATACCTTACAAGCGTCATTGCACTAGTATTTGTAGCCGGAGCACTGCTAAACAATGCGACAGCACAAGATTGTGGCTGTGCCGCAAACCTATGTTGTAGCCAATATGGCTATTGCGGCACCGGCAACGATTACTGCGGCCAGGGTTGTAAACAAGGTCCTTGTACTGGCAGCGGCGGCACACCAACCACACCGAGTGGTTCATCAGTGGCTGATATAGTAACTCCAGCATTCTTCAATGGGATCATAAGCCAGGCTTCTTCAGACTGTGCCGGAAAGAACTTCTACTCTCGAGGGGGTTTTCTTGACGCTGTCAACTCATATTCTGACTTTGGTAGACTTGGTTCGGTTGACGACTCTAAACGCGAAATTGCAGCTTTCTTTGCTCATGTCACTCATGAGACTGGCCGTAAGATATTCTGTTCCTCCCTTCTCATATATACAATGTACACCTGGTACAAAGATACATGCACAAATATGTGTTTATATATATTTACATGCTTTACCATGTCACTCCTCTTAGGTAGTAGAAAAACGGATATTCACCTGCTTTCTTTTCCACACCCTGCGTTTTCTATCTTACATGATAACAGAAAGAAAACACAGATGAACCTAACAAAAACATTTTTTCTTTTGGATCAGATTTTTGCTACATTGAAGAGATAAATCGCGGAACCTACTGCGACACAACCCGAACAGACTATCCATGCAATCCCAACAAACAATACTACGGGCGTGGACCACTCCAACTAACATGGAACTACAATTATGGAGCTGCTGGAAACAGCATTGGCTTTGACGGCCTAAATTCTCCTGAAACCGTGGCCTCAGACGCTGCTGTTGCATTCAAGACAGCCTTGTGGTATTGGATGAACAATGTTCGTCCTGTTGTAAGCCAAGGATTCGGAGCCACGATTCGAGCCATTAATGGTGCTGTGGAATGCGATGGTAAAGAACCTGGAAAAGTTCAAGCCCGGGTCAACTATTACAATGATTATTGCACCCAACTTAATGTTAATCCTGGTGGTAATCTCTATTGCTAGAATACTAAAGTTTATAATAGGCAGAGATATTCTTTCTAGACATATCAAAGCTTATTAATTATTTAGATAATGAATATATAAAAGGGCAATCTGATTATTAGTTGCTCCCTTTCATATGATATATCATGTATTATTTTGTTCCCAGCCATGGAAGGAGAGGGCTAGCTCTCCTGTTGTGTACTCCACCCATTCAATAAATAAAGGCTGAAGTTTTGTGTTGATCCTCATTTATTGTCTAATATATATGTGCACAGTGCTTAGAATGTTATCAATTTTGGTTCCCAAACTGTTTGTAGTTGGTTCTTTTTCCAAAATAAAATCTGCCCAAACTGGGGAACTAAAAAACTATGGATGAGAGAATTTGACAAATAAACATAGAAACTGAGCAAGCGACATCCGCCCAAGTGTGTTCATTGAGAATATCTGTGAACTAAAATGCTTATTACCACAGAATTTCGGATCAGATTCACAAGAGATACGAAGCAGACCCAGTTTCTTCCTCTCTTTAACGGCATCCTTGACCGCCACTCCCCATGCTCCCTCAGCAAAAGATAAAGAAACCCAAAAAGGCGAAAAAAGAGGGTGAAAACTCTATTGCCCCGTCCTTCACAGCCATTACAAATCAAAAGATATGTGGTCGTAAACATGTTAGCTGAGAAGGGATAATGATGCCATCAAATTTTCATGATAATGCACAGCCAAAATCCAACCATAGCAGTTATTTAGTTTTCTTTTGTTCAGAAACTCTAGCTCCCATGATCTTACAAACAGGCTCATTTTTTGACTGAATAAGCTTTAGAGTCGGATGAACCTTGAGATCTCCCATTAATATCTTTTGACCGACATCCAACTCACTCAGATCCACATCAATATATGGAGGAATCACATCTGCAGGGCAGAGGAACTTTACAGTCCTCTTGATTGTATTTAAGTAAGCACCTGCCAAGCGACATCAATAACTAAAATTAATATCCAATAATCACGAAAATTTCCAGTATATAAGAAGACACATATATGTTCAACATATAAAAAATTCAAGTCATTTCATGATTTGTAGATGAGTCGTTCATCAATATTGAATCATAATAAAAATCTGTCAGGAACATTTCTGTGCAACTGTCTCAACTTTATAAATCTGCCATAAATTAAATGAAGAGTTCAATTAAAGAAACATAAGAAAGTCTATTTTATCACCTTATTTTATCATGGATTAATACAAATTACGAAATCATCGTAGAATAGTTCAAAACTGAAGAAGTGAACAACGATAAAAATTTATGAATACTAACATGTACCTACAATCTAATCCTTAGGCTGAAGATAAAATAGTCCAAAAAGTGCTGCTTATGTGATTATCCTTCTCCTTAGAGCATAAAGTTGAAAATTAAAACCATTAAATACAGTGTCTTAGAAATCCTAGTTCACAAAATTCATGCAAAATAAACATTAGGTGCCAGCCTCAAAGGTTTAAGTATAACTATTTGAATTTCTAAAACACTGATCCAGAAATTATGGGAAAAAGAAACATATAAGCATTACTCTTTCCCGATTTCAACTTTATTTCACTATCATGTAAGATCAAGGGCAAGATGAAGAGTTGGATTAAAACAAGGAGTTGAAAGGAATGTGTACCATAAACATGATGTACATAATCTCTGCAGCGGAAAAAGCAGCGTTACAATCATATGACCAGGGAGATTTTTCTTGTTATCCTATAATATATAATTTACCAAGACAACAAAATGAACCTAGATTTGTCAACACCAGGAGGTAAAGTTTTCTAATTGTCTGATGTCGAAAGCATAGAATAGAACACACACAAGTACATACATAATTGCATGATCATTGAATAAAACAGAATATCAAAAACAACACGCACACCTTTAGGCAGAAAGCAACATCAAAGACATTGAATCCTTTTACTGTAATACATTAACGTTGAGTTGGACCGGATAAAACTAAATTTCTTTTGAGAAACTAATTCATCTATCAATAACTTAATGTTATAATTTTTTGATGAAAAACTAACAACCTCCATTCAAATTTAGCCAAATTATCAAGAATATACAAAGATGTATAGTTGGAATTAAGAATATGTTGCATCTGAAGGCAGTCACACCCTTGTATGCATTCAAATTTACCTTTCTTCAATCCAGGAGAGACATCATCTCCTCGAAACACAAGAGGAATGTCGACTTTCAACAAAGCATGAGAAGGAGCCCTTATGAATGTCACATTAAGCGGTGCGTCCGTGGCCGAGTGCAAATGAATCTAACAAACAAACAAAACCCCAACATCAAATAAACCCTAACACACCAAAAACAAAATCAAATCTTCTGAAGATAAACAGAGTGCTGAGCAGACCATACCATGCGAGGCAAAACGCGGACCCTCTCAACGATGTCGTCTTCAGAGTCGAAGTCGGAGCGAACCTCGAGGTCGAAGAGCCTGGAGAGGAAGAAAGAGCGGCCGACATGACCGACGAGTTTTCGGATCTGGTTGGTCCGTACAGAGATGAGGCGCTTGTTGCCGCCATGCTGGCCGTCCTCTTGCTCGAAGACGATGCTGGGGACACGGCCCGCCTTGCGCTCTTTGGCAGAGATGCTCTTACCGGAGGCGGTGCGTGGGACGGCGAAGATGGTCTCGGCGTATTTCGGGTCTGGTCTCGGGAAGGTGGACTGAAAGTCGGGTTCGAGCTCCGGTTCCGGTTCCAGGTGGAGCAGAGCGGCTGTGGCGGATTGGGCGTAGCGTCGGATTTGGAGCTGGAGGGCTTTGGTTAGTGCGGCGGGGCGCTGCCTGTGGAGGAACATTTTGGTGCCGGCCTAGAGTGAGAGAGGAGCTCTGGAGACGAAATGTAATTAATGGGGGTTTAAGAGGGGCTTTTCTTTTTTTCATAGTGCAGAATAGAATTGCGGCCGTTGCTTTGGAGTTGAGATCTTCTCGCCCCAATTCCTCTAAAATCCCCTGCGTCTCCTATTTGAGATGTTGACACCTGTCCACTAACTCCTCCAACCCTCAATACCATCCGATCAGATTAGTAAAATAATATATAAAAAAAAGGTAAATTTCACTATACTATTCGGAAGTTTACGAATTTCAACTCTTACTATCTAGAAGCATCTTCAAGGGATTACTCGAATGACGTAGGGCTGGTCATTTATACTGAAAACCAGACTGAATCGGCCGAACCGGACCGATTTTGATGGGTTGGTTTGGTTTTTTAATTAAAATTATTGAAATTGGCAAAAAAAACTAGCCAATCCGATGGTTAATCGGTTTGAATTTTTTTAAACCGTCAAAACCCGAACTGGACCGCTTTCATGTAAATTGTCTAAAAATTCAGAGTAAGTGCACTAATGCAGAATCAAACTCCGTCAAGAGTGCAGATACAAGGCCCAAATACCATTGGACTGGTGCATCTTTTTGTGGAATGTGTGTATGATTATAATATTTATTACAATCTAAAAGAATTAAAAAAGCATTTTTTTATAAAAAAAGGTTAGGTTTCCCCTGCCCCACGAACTCTCCTTTTCCTTTTCTTTTCTCCCAACCGTTATTCCTTCTTTCTTATGTTCTCTCTCCATTTTTTCTTATTTCTTCTTCCTCCCGCCACTGCTGGCTGCACCTTCTCTCCATCTTCTTCTTTCCTTCTTCTTCTTCTTCTTCTTCTTCTTGTGGAATGTGTGTATGATTATAATATTTATTATAATCTAAAAGAATTAAAAAAGCATTTTTTTTAAAAAAAGGTTAGGTTTCCCCTGCCCCACGAACTCTCCTTTTCCTTTTCTTTTCTCCCAACCGTCATTCCTTCTTTCTTATGTTCTCTCTCCATTTTTTCTTATTTCTTCTTCCTCCCGCCACTGCTGGTTGCATCTTCTTCTTTCCTTCTTCTTCTTCTTCTTCTTTTCTTCTTCTTCCTCCCCACGAAGTGGTCCTCAAGCCCTCAATCTCAGTTCAATCCTTTGCCATCGATGCTCGCCGAACCAAATCGCACCGCACCGACTTCTCGGCGTGCCAATTGTAGTCGGTCTTACATTTCCTCGGCGCGGCGGCGGTCTCCAAAATAGGTACCCCGATGACCTCCGGTTCGGTGGTCGGCAACTCTTCCAAGCCACGGTTATCGAACCATGAACACCCCTAGAATGAAGTAAGTAAAATTGTACTTTAACAACTTATGTAGCATGTGTTGCTTACCCATTTGTCTCATCAGAAAAGGGTCATAAGGGCATCCTCAATCATAGTACCTAAAAGAGGACGCTAACAAATTGATCGTGGAAAGAATCCCATTTAGAGCTTCAATGGAACATTATGGGTTATAAAGGTATATTCCACAAAATGGGTGTTGTATAGTTGGGGCTCTAAAATTTTTTTTTTGATGTAATTTGGTTTAGGTGGTAATTTATTTTTGAAACTTATTTTGTTTTAATATATATTTAAACTATGTTATTTTTTTTTGGAGCATTTCAACAAAAATAAAATAAATTTTTTTGCACAAGATTCCGAAGACATAATTTTTTTCATAGACTTTGCATGTAAATGGATAATTTGTGGTGCTATTGAATGAGGCTCTAAAAGGACAAACTATAGACACTAGGGGTGGGTTTAGTTTGATTTGGTTTGGTGTTGAGCCAAAATCGTCCACCAAATCTAACCCTCAGTAGAATAATTTCCAGCACCGGCGCCGAACTAACACCCTCAACAACCAAGTCCCTCGGTTAATGGGAATGAATGGTTTGATGTGGTTTGGTTTCGATTTTCATGCCAAGTGGGCGACGATGATTGGCGAGATATCGTGGCTGTGTGATGAGTAGATCGAAGGAGACAAGGCGAGATAGCTCCAAATCTCTAAATGGAGAGAGAGAGGCTTTTGTATCTTATGTCATGCTAAAATGGGTTTATTAATGAAAACCTCAAATTTAAACGATGGAGATCTAAATTCCGTCATTTAAGAATTCTATGCAATTTTCAATTCCTTCATTCAAACGGAGGGTAAAAGTTATTAGTTGGCTCTTATGACATCATATAGCAGAGAGACTTTTATTTCATCATATAGCAAAGAGATTCGGGAACGGTGTCTTTCTCCTCCTTTGATTCACATCTACTTATTCCTTTCATTGTTTTTCCATGGAACATCATCTTCTTCTTTTTTATGAATTCAGACGGCTAGAGCATGATATGTGCTTGCAGAATTTACTAATACAATTAACGTGTTTGGTAATCACAATCCTTAAAATTGTATAACAGTACTTTTAATCGCTTAACTAATTATTAACACTTAAGCACAAACGGTAAACAAAATGAGTAGGGTGACAATATAAAGTAATGTAACACAAGTAAAAATTTGTATTCCAAGTAATAATTACTTTATGTAATCTTTTCTTTTTAATATGAGGAGAAACTTAACGTAATCATGATTCAGACTAGTAAGATGCTTATGGCCCATGTAGGGATGGCAACGGGTTGGGTAGGGGCTGGGTATGACAATACCTTCCCCGTCCCCGCTCTCCATTCCCTTCCCCAACCCCGAACCCATCCTCGTTTAATAGGTTTTGGGGAATCCCCATCCCCGTCCCCGTCGGGGTACTATCCCCCATATCTGCCCCGAATTCCCCATTTTTTTGTTGCATAAAAAATATTTATCATACATTTTAACATTAAGTTTCATATTAAATTATCATTCAACACATCAAAATTAACTATAAAGTTTAGCTCAACTATTCAAAATCATATCAATATGAAATTCCAGAGAAGATTAGGAAGAATTAGGAGAGGGAGGTTAACTTAGAGTTAAACATAAATATTATAATTATATATTCATTTATTTATTTATTTAAATATAAACATATATATATTTTCGGGTCGGGTTCAGGTATGGGGACGCCCATACCATCCCCTCCTTATACTCGTCGGGGATTTGTCAAGTTCGGAGATCCCCATACCCAATACGCGTTTTGGCCCCGAAATCTCCCCCCATTAGGGTTGGGGAGCTGGTGCCCCCACCGGTATCATAGGCCCATGATGAATACGTGCGGCTAAGGTCGGAGGCGGGGGTGGGGTTGGCATGCTCCTTAATTTTCTCGGTTTTTGATCTGCAGCAATTAATAAACTCAACTCAATATCAATAACATCAATCAAATCATGTTCATGTGTAACTTATGTTTTTTTTTTTTTTTCAATCCACGCCCTGTATGACAAGTTAAATTATATAAGTTTTTACAAATAAGCTCATTTTAATATGGCATATTATACAAAAATTTATATCATTTGTCATTTTCTAATCGGTTCTTAGAAAATTTTAACACACTTAAAACTAATTAGAAAATGACAAGTAGCTAGTTTGGATTTTTCTCTCTAAATAGGTTCTATAAGAGTTTTTGTATAATATGTATTATGTCATGTTAAAATGGGTCTATTTGTGAAAAGCCCTAAATAAACATATGAAGAGACAATTAGGTCACAAAAACAGTTATGATTGAAGGGTCCTTCTCCATTATGGAGTTGGAAGTGTGCGAATCCATTACGGATTTGTGTTTTGACCATCACATCTCCACCAACTGCCATGTTTTTAATACCTCACCCTTTTTTTAATTTTTTTATTCTATTTCCTTTTCTCTCTCTTTCTTTACGTTTGTTCACTCTCTCTTTTTTATTATTTTTCCTTCTCTCTTCCTCTTTTCTTTCTTCTCTCCTCATCTACTCAATCTCTCTCTCTTCTTTCTTCTTAGCTCTATTCTCTTTTCCCTACTCCCTCAAGTACAGGTTTTTTTTTAATTTTGCTACCTGTTCTAAAGGACAACATCAAGATAGACATGACAAGGGCATCAACCCACCCCTTCTCATACATTTAATTGAAAACATTTAAAGCCTTTACGAACTTCCCTGTATTGCAATAAACCTGCAGCGCCGGAGTCAGCTTGTACTTACTGAATTCCCACCCAGAATCTCACATTTCTTGCAGTTCAATTGAACTTGACTTAGATTTAGATATAGCCTCCAACAAACATTTATATCTATAACTATTTGGTACACAAAGACCCTTCACTTTAACTTGATCAAACAAAAAGTTAGCTTCTTGAACCAACTCTACACTACCTAAACATCTTATAAAGAAACCCAAAGCTCCAGGAGTCGGAGAACAATTCAAATTCACAATTTCCATAGCCATGGCTCTCAATGGAACATTTTGTCAAATGATCAGCCTGATTATTTGATTGGTCTAGGTTTTTTTTTTTTTGGGTCGAATGGGTATGGGTTTGTGGGTGGGGGGAGGAGCAAAAAAAAAACTTGGACTTGAGGGAGCAGGGAAGAGAGAACAGAGCTGAGAAGAACGAAGAGAGAGAGAGAGAGAGAGAGAGAGAGAGCAGAGGAGGAGAGAAGAAAGAAAAGAGGAATAAGAAGGAAAAATAATAAAGAAAGATAGAAAGACGAGGAAAAATAATAAAAAGAGAGGGAACAAACAGAAAGAAGGAGAGAGAAGAGGAAATATATATATATATATATATATATATATATATATATATATATTTTAAAAGCAGCATGAGTAGAACGTGGTAACTTCTATTCAAAATAAACAATTGAACTTATCAATATTATAATTTCTAGTGACAAGCTGTTTGGAACTCTATATCAGTTCTCAGAGTCAAAGCAACAGAGAGTTCTGCTTTTATCCGATTTCCATTGTTTATGGCTTTCATATTGCTGAATAACTGCTTAATATTAGTCATTCAGATTGAATTGAAATACCATATTCGGCCAAATGTATCCCAACTTCAATCCACCCTCATCTCTCCTAAATGTGCATGAGCACATATGCGCACATGGCCACACTCAAAATTCAGAATGTTTATAAACATCTGTGGCATCGGCTAGATATTTATACGCTTCTAAATTTTTTTAAAGATGAGATATATATAGTAATAGTAGCTTAAACTGCAAGTCATGGTCCCTCTTGCCATGAAGTAAGGTTAAAACTCTAGTGAGAACCCGCGGCACGCGCTTTGAAGAAAAGGGAAATGAATGAAATAAGAAATTTCTTCAGAAAATGACAGAATGAGAAACAAGAAGTGAAATATATGTTTGTTTTTCGATGGCCTGCTTCCACGTAGCATTCATATATGTTTTCAAAGCAATGTTTGTTGGGGGAAAGAACGCCGGCTTTGACTCTGACTTTGAATTACACATTACTATTAATTTTAGATAATTTGCACAAACAATTGAGTCACATCATATATATATATATATACACACGAGAGATTCCTTAAATAAGTTTATTTGAGGGTCATCCTTATAGGGCTCACTCCGCATTGTATTTTACTAATTCAAACCATATATTTTGTAGATATTCATTCAAAGATCATCTCTACAAAAAATCACTTGAATCTGATATCATTTGATCATTCAATTAAATTATTGAAATTTAAATACTTTTTTGAAGCACCGTGTTCATTGATTTTGTTGATCTCAATTAGATGCCTTAATGATTTTCAATTTGTGTGATTTTTTGCAAGGATGATCTATGAATGAGGACTGGAAAAATAGATGGTTTGGATCGTTGAAAAAATATTCGTAGGATACATTTGAGGGATTTCTCAATGGAAGGGGACTGTATATATATAGAGCTTCAGTTGAGGGATCCTTTAAATAAGCTTATTTGAGAAACACTTTATATGCCCCCACTACACATTGTATTTCAACGATCTAAATCGTCTAACTTTTTGATACTCCCTCAAAGATCATCTTTGCGAAAAATCACTTGAATCTGAAATAATTTGATCACTAAAATGGTTGTTATTATAGTCTTTTCTTGAAGTATCGTGTTCATCTATTTGTTGGTCCCAATTAGATTGCCATATTTTCAATTTTCCTGATTTTTTGTAAAAATGATCTTTGAATAAAGACTTGAAAATAAACAGTTTAGATCGTTGAAAAACAATTTGCAATGGATCCTAAAGAAAGTGTCCCTCAATAAAAGGAGACTGATATATAAATATCCTCTATTTAAAAACTAATTAATCAGGACAACAAAGAAACGCGCTGGAAGTATGTTTATAATTAGCCTCGTATCCTTGACATCGACTTAATCAAAGTTAAGAAAATAATGTAATTGACTTTAGACTCACACATATGCATGACCTCTTCCCACTATAGATGAGTCTGACGACTTGCCTTCACGCATTGTATACCATACGTAAAATCACCACTAGGAAACTTGACCTAAATGGTAAATACCATATGGAAAAGCACCAGTAAGAAACTTTGCTTTGTATCCTCTTCTTGCTGTGACAACACTTGTAGCTTTTGTCACCTCACAACATGAGGCATTAGTAATCAAAGAACCTGAAATATAGAAAAACCAATTAGTAACGCTTTTCCCAACTCTCTCACATAAGGCGAGTCGGAATAAGAATTGATAAAATAATTGGGTTCTAACAAAGAGCAGATTAACAGAATTAAGAATGAAAGTTACCGCTAGATAAAAGAGCGTAGGATGATTCAATCCCAAAATAGTCTATGTAAATGAACTTAGCATTTCTTTGATTTCTGTTAAGGTCTTGGACAAGAGATTTAAGCCTCCGATTGAAAATTTGGACCCCAGTGTTGATATAAGCTATACGCATGAAGAGCCTTTTGTGCCACACATAGCCACTTCGTAAGAGCAGTTCCAGCAGGTCAGGCTGGGGGCGGCGGGGGGTTTGGGCCAAAAACATGTTTCCAGCAGCAAAATGCAGCCTGGGCAGAAGGTGAGACCCAACGAACTGGGCTGGCCCAAGGACAAGCCGAGCCCCAGGTCCAAAACGAGGGCGAGCTGACGTCAGCGAGCGGAGATTAAATTTTTTTACCGTTGGTGCGTAGCCCTACACTGCTCCAACGGTAATGGGCCACGTGTCGTCGTCTGGGCGCTCCGATCGTTATTTTCTCTCCAATCCAACGGCTGACAAGATTTTTGCAATAAAAATATGAAAAAAAATTCCGAATTGTTTTTAAAAAATTACCAAAAAATACTGGAATTTTTTTCTATAAATACCTACCAATACTTTTCACTTTCAACACCAAATCCTCATACATTTTCTACTACTTCTACTATTATTCACTTTTTACTCAACATTTCATTCACTTTCAAGTTTTATTTTTTCATATAATCTTTATGGCTTCTTCTATCGACGGTGTTGGGGCATGGAGCACCATGGAAGATGTTTTGTTGTATGAGTGTTGAGTCCAAATTTCTCATTGTCCCGTCATGGGCAATGAGATAAAATTCTCGGGTTTGTGGAAAAAAATTCATTCCAAATTTTGTGGAAGATTGAGTTCGAACCGTACGGAAATGACATTGTCTAGTAGGTGAAAAATTCTCAATAAAGAGTTGGGGAAATGGAGAGATGCCTTGACAAAAGCGATGGACAACCGTGGAAGAGGGGAAAATCTTACCGATGAGGTAAATTATTTGTAATTTTTATTTTATTAATTTTAATGTCCTAATATTATTTTATATATGTTTTTTGCATTGCCAATATTTTGTTAATATTAAATAAATACCCAATATTTTGTTAATAGTTCTTGCATTGCCAATATTTTTTAATGTTTCTTGTATTTCCAATATTTTTTTATAATTAGATTCTGCAAGCACAAATGTGGTTTGGTGCTACTGGGCAAGGAAAAAAATCTTTTAACCATCATGAATGTTGGGAGATAGTCAAAAATTGCAAACGTTTCAGAATTATTCACACGGGTCTGACCGTTGTGTTGAACAAGACGCCACTCTATAATTCAACGGCATCGGATTCACCTCTTGATTCTAATTCATGCATTTTATTTTCATTGTATTTTAATGTTTTATTTTGAAAATTAGTTGTAATTCATGCATTCAATAAAATACCTTTTTATTCAAAACATTCCATACATAAAAAAAACAAACCCCATCCAAAGCATTAAAAATAAACAAACCACACCCAAAGCATTAAACAAAGAAGTAGAAACAAAAATTAAACATAAAAATTAAAAATAAAACAAACTTCTTCACTTCACTTCATTCGCCGTCATTTCCCTTCACCGCCCATAAATGCTCCATCAAGTCAACTTGACGTCGTTCATGAATATAAAACGATTGCATCTCCGTATATCGATCAATCATACGGGTCATTACACGACCGTCCCTAACCAACGGTTCATGCTGCACTGGTTCTCCTTTTGGCCCCATGGGTTTTTCATAAATTCGTGTCAAGGCCGTGTTCATTGGATCCGGTTCGTACACGTCTTCAGCTAGATAATCATACTCATCTTCCACAATCATGATATGGAGGATGATGCATGTCATCATTATGCTCCTCAGCACCTCCTCATCAAACAGACGTGATGTACCCCTAATAATAGCCCATCGCGCTTGGAAGATACCAAACCACCTCTCCACATCTTTTCTGTACCCCTCTTGATAGGTAGCAAAAAAATTTTGCTTCTGGGATCGGGGATGTAGAATTGACTTGAAAAATGTGGTCCACCTCGGGTAGATGCCGTCAGCTAGATAATACCCATTTTGGTAGACGGTATTGTTGATTTGATAGGTGATATTTGGGGCTTCACCTCTCAAAACGTCATTGAACACCGAGGATTGACCCAGGACGTTCAAGTCATTTTGAGATCCGGCAACTCCGAAGAAAGCATGCCAAACCCACGTGTCAAAACCTACAACGGCTTCAAGGATGATGCTTTTTTAGCCTTTCCGATTCTCATAATCTCCTTGCCATGCAGTCGGGCAATTCTTCCACTGCCAGTGCATGCAGTTGATGCTACCAATCATTCCTGGAAATCCTCGAGTTTCTGCTTTTTGTAGAAGCCGTTGGAGGTCCCTGGGCGTAGGTCTGCGCAGGTAGTCCCTAGTGTACAGAGTTTCGACTGCATCACAAAATCTCACCAAGCTCTCCAAAACAGTAGACTTCCTCATCCGGGCAATCTCATCAACTTGATCAGCAGATGAGCCATATGCCAACATTCATATAACAGCTGTGAACTTTTGCTAGGGAAGCAGTCCCAAATTTCCAGTAGCATTTGTCTTTTCAACAAAATATTCATCATAATTGCAAATATCATGCATGACTTTATTGAACAAATGGGGTTGCATTCTATATCTCCTTTGAAAATCAACATTAGAGTACAGAGAAGTTGGGATAAAATAATCTTCCAGAAGATTCTTACCCCGAGAATGTCTATGTCTGTCCACATTCGAGCCACGACCTTCTCGTGAACCACGGCAGCTCTGGTTTTCTTCATCATGCATAGCCACTGCTGTGACAATTTGCATATCCAGTTCTGCCTGCGCCCTTTTGCCTGCAACTCGTCTACGCCTTCTTTCTGTAAATTGTCGCATTTGCCTCTCCAAGACCTCGTTCATGTCTGCCATTGGAGTATGAATTCTAAAATATGAGAAATGAAAATAAAGAGAAGATATGGTGTGAGAGGTATGAGCTGAGGCTTTGGTTTTACAGAAAAAATTTGCCCGATAAAGATGACACGTGGCGCAATTTTAGAGGGTGAAAATTTTATCTGAAATTTGAAATTCAGATGAAATTTATTTGAAATTTGAAATGTATCTGAAATTTGAATTTTGAAATGTATCTGAAATTTGAAAATTGAAATTTATCTGAAATTTGAAACCGAAAATTTGAACCATTATGAGATATGAATAGTATTGACACGTAGGAACCCAAAAATCTTATCCGAAAATATTGTCCAAATTAATTATTTAAGTAAACAAATTTGTGAAAAAAACAAAAAAATAAATAGTGTTTGCCCTTTGCCCGGGCAACTGCTGGAAACCAGCATTGCTTTATAGTGGCTGCCCTAGCCGCCCCCCCTGCCCTGGCAAGGGGCAACTGCTGGAAATGCTCTAAGATGTGGAACCTAAACGACCTAGCCCAAAAGGGGCTATCTTTCTTGCCCCAGAGTTGTACAACGTCTAGCATCATCAGAAAAGTTCCAATTATATATATCTTATAAATTGATTTCTTGGTCAATACGAAAAAATGAACAATTATTAAAACCAGTTGGCTAGGACAGTGAGCCCGATCTCTTTGCATCCAAGTTCGAGTCCCTCTTCTCGTAAGTTAGATTAATTTATAGTAATTTAGACTATTGCTTGTATGAAATAATAATCATATAATTAAAATGGAAGAAACTGTTATACTAACTCTTAATTGCTGAGAATACTAATGAATGAGAACTCTTGCATATTGATCTGATGTGTATTGGCGGCTAGTGTTGGACATTGAAACGAAGTTGTTGATAGTGTAATCATTGGTGCCCATGTTGACTCTTGTATATAATTAGGTTTCCTAGTTATAGGCGTAAAGGCTGTATTTAGTTATTCCTCCTTTAACCGGGATTGGTTTCCTTGTAGGGATTGTACTCTTTGTATAAATATCCTCTAAAGAGAAGAATAATATAGTTTTCAGTTCTCTTCATTTCAACTTGGCATCAGAGCCACATTAAACCAGGAAGAAAAAAAACCATAAGCCGCATAGCCTCCTTGTGCTATGGGCCTCGACCGAACTCGATCACGAACTAGGCAGCGCTGCTTGCCTTGATATCCGCACCCGCTCTCGACTACTGTCGTACAACGCTGTTGTGTAGCATCTTGATATCCCTCACTTTTTTTTTCTGTTTCCACATGGGCAACCAAACGAAGGAAGATAAACCTACCCCAGTCGTTGTTCAATCCGACAACTCTAATTTTAATATTGGAGTGTTGTTGGATGAGACAAACTATGATTTATGGGCACCTTTGACCGAGATGCATATTGCAGGACGTCGAAAGATGGGATATCTTCGGGGTTCAACTAAGGCTCCTTCTGAAGATGATCCCAAATATGAAGATTGGGAAGCTGATGACCAGAGGGTCAAGAGCTGGCTTCTGTCCTCTATGAAGCTAGACCTGATGAGACGATATATCCGCTTGACGACTGCAGCAGCAATCTGGAAGGCTCTAAAAACGGCTTACTGATCGGTGCATATTTACATATCATTTTGTACCCTTCTAGCTTATGATTTGGTTATGTTTTTGAGTTAAACTTGTGCTTTTAATCCTTTTTGTGTGAAGTTCGTGTGTATACTTTGAGCCAGAAGGCGTCTCGCCTCCGTCAAAATGAGAGGCCAGTATCCACCTACTTTGGTGAACTCCTGAAATTTTTCAGGAGTTGGATCACTACAGTAAGGTGGCTATGCATTGTGATAAAGATATCAAAGTCTATCAGGAGTCGCTTGAACGACAACGCTTTTATCTTTTCTTGGGAGGCCTTGATGATGAGTTCGAGCAAGTTCGAGGAGAAGGTTTGCGCAAAGAACCACCTTTCGGGCTCCATGGATCATATGCTTATGTTAGTAGGGAATCTAATCGGAAGGAGGCTATGAAGCAAGAAGGCGAGAAGGCAGAGGCCATGGTGGTCCGCAACAGGTCCTCCCACAATCGGTCTAGTCCATTAGGTTCAACTAGCTGGCCTTCCACTGTGAACTCCTCCTCGCACCGGCCTAATGCCGGATCCACTCATGCTTGGCCTGAGATTGATCGCTCCAAATTGGTGTGTACTCACTGTGGACTTGGGGATCATTCGAAGGCTAGGTGTTTTGAATTGATTGGGTATCCTGAAGGATGGGATAAGACTTGTGATCCCCGTTACAACAAGCAGCGAGCTACCATAGCTGACACGAAAGATGAACCCGACCTTGTTGCTAATCAGGCCTCTGCATTAGTTACTACTACCGGTAATGAGGGTAAGGTTTTGCAAATTTTTGATTCTGTTAAGAATACTACTTGGATAATTGACTTTGGTGCTACGACACATATGACATTTGATTCTAAATTGGTCCACACTTTTAACCCCTCCACTCAGTCCTGTGTCACCACTACGGATGGCAGTGCCACTCCTATTATTGGGGAGGGCCCTGTCGCTCTCACTGATACTTTGAACCTTGATACTTGTTCCATCCCTTGATTACAACCTACTTTCTGTCGCTCAACTAACCATTGCTTTGAATTGTGTTGTTGTTTTTTGGCCTCACTATTGTGTGTTTAAGGACATCCAGACTTGGCGGACGATTGGTTATGGCATTAGGAAGGGGAAGTTATACTACATGGATTTGACATTGGACAGTACTTCTTGCATTACTTAAGCTCTGTCGGTGGACACCTCACATGGGGAGCTGAAAGCTAGAGCTGATATTTGGTTGTGGCATCGTCGCTTAGGACATGCTTCATTTGGTTATTTACAGAAACTTTTTCTGAGTTTGTTTGTTAAGTGTGATGTTTCGAGTTTCAAATGTGATGTTTGTGAACTGGCTCATAGCCATCATGTCTCTTTTCCACCTAGTTTACATAAAAGTTCAGTGCCCTTTATGATTGTTCATTCTGATGTTTGGGGTCCCTCTAAAATTGCAACTTTGGGTGGTGCCCGATGGTTTGTTACTTTTATTGATGACTGTACTCAAATGACATGGGTAGTTTTGTTGAAAAATAAAAGTGATGTATGTTCTGCCTTTCAGAAGTTTCATAGAATGGTTCTCACACAGTATAACAAACAGATACAGGTACTTCGGAGTGATAATGGCAAAGAATATGTGAATGTTGGTTTGCAAACTTTTTTAACTGCCTATGGTATTATTCATCAGACAACGTGTCCGTATACTCCACAACAGAATGATGTGGCGTGCCAAAAGTGTCTGCCGCACAAATCTCACGGCCTGGAGTTCCGGGCCGAGGGGATGTGCGTTAACACGGGGTTTCCTGCTTTTGGGTGCGGTGCGGTTGTGCGCGGGCGTGCCAGCACGGTCTACCGTGCGTTGATGTTTCGATGAGTGTTGGATGGATAAGTGGTGCGCCTGTTTGATCTGTCTTCCTAGTCAAACGATTGTAGCCGAGAGAGGAACTGGTCTCGGCTGTTAGGTTCACGGCCTGAACTACAAGGTCGTTGAGTGATGGTGTTGGTGGTGGGTTTTGGGCGGTGCTCCGGCGCGCTGCTCAGGGAGCGACGGTCGTGTGATATATGGGGTGAGTGAACGAATAACAAGGGTGGTGCTCCGGCGCCTTGAAAATCAAGGGTCGTATGATATATTGATGAATGGATTCTGCTTACAACCTAACACTACTCCTAGGAAAGCAAGTAAAGATATTGAAAGTGCATTACAGGAAAAAATAAGTTGCTCCGTGGGAGGCTTTGTTTTGGTGTTGAACCCTTTGAATGTAGCTCGAGTCTTGTATTTATAGGAAGAGTCCCTGGATGAGTAATCGAGGCTGAATTTACGCATAGTGGAGTCTGATTAGCGCAAGTGGGCAGTCCAATCGACATTTGGGATCGTGAAGTATGGTGGTGAGACCCCAGAAATCCCGGTGAATCTCGGCCG